CTCGGAACTTGAGGGAGGAGATTGAATTCAAACGTCCTCGGCAAGGAACGAAAGTGCCAGGAACGTTCGTCTGTGGGACTCTCGGATGTTCGGAGGAGAGCGAGGGATCGGGACCGGCCGGTTCACCAGGTCAATTGGAGGAACCCAGGAGCACTGGATATCCCGGGGCCTCGAGGTGGAGTCTGCGAGCCCCTCGTCACGGAGTCACCCCGTGGATCCATCGCGTACGACGAAGCCGGGGGACCGACGCAATCCGGACGACTCTCGGAAGAAGGCGCATCGTCCTCCGATCAGCTCTCCACCCTCCTTTCTCGTTAAGTATTCGACAATCTATCTGTCGAATGTCTTCACGAGATAGATATAAAGTGTAGAGTTCCGCGGCGATAATAATGGTGTCACTCGCCGACCGCTCTTCTCATATATCGCACGTCGCGCTCAATTTAGTAGCTCTGTTCCGCGATTGATAGCGTACGCGGATAATTGTAATAAATCTCGATATATGTGAGTGACCGAATTAAAGTTATCAACCAGAGTTGCGCATCTTCTTTACCGAATCCCTGTCCGTTGAAACCGTTACATGCTAATCCGTTATATTCATATAAAAAATTACATTAATGCTACCTGCAGACGATCGTTTCGGCTTTACATCAAGTCCTCTTCAGTGGTCTTTTAAAAAATATTACATACGTGTCACTTCACCTTCGTAAGTTACATAATTGTCAGATGCTGTGTCTAATTATCACAGCAAATAATTAGACACAGCATCTGACAATTATGTATGTAACACACAAAGGTGAAGCGACATGTACTTATGTAATATTTTATAAAAGGCCAATGAATTAATTTTCTTTGTTTCAAAACTTTTACACTTCTTCTTTTCCTTCTATATTTTATTCCTTTAATTATTTTCTTTTAATCATTGTAAAAACCATGTTTCGACATATCTGTTGATTACAAAAGATATTGTTAGCAGTATTATAATATTTTTTTATAATATTTTACTGATACCCGAAAGAAAAAAGTAAGACGAGAAATGAAAGTTATCGACTTAACATGCCTTTTTTTTAAATAGGAGATATATGTAAGAGATGTATAAAAGTAATGAGATATTTAATATGATATTTGTATTTGTGCGTGCGTGCGTGCGTGCGTGCGTGCGTGTGTGTGTGTGTGAGTGCGTTATGTTTCAGGGATAGTGAACAAATGGCGCGCGCGAAACGCGCGCTTTGTTTTGTTCTAATTAATTAAAAAAATAGGAATGATCAATAATAAGCTTCTCTCGATACGTCGATACTTTTAAGCAATCGCGAACAGATTGTCGCAATTGATATTGTAATGTATTAGTCGCGTAATCACTATATCAGTATAATCACACAGTACCTAAATTTGAGCGTATTATTATATTCTAAGAAAGAAAAGTGCAGAAACTTGCATTTTCTGAAAAATTTATTCCTATATTAATGATAAAAGTTTTAAATTATCGAGTACTTTGCAAACATTATTTAGCTACAAAATCAAGGAACGGACACAGCGAAAGTTGGTTGTTCACTTGTTCGTCGTTGGCCCCCATTCGCGCGACACTTTGGACGGCTAACTTGTCGCGGAACTTGCAAGTTTCCGACACGAAACGTGTACCATAAACACGCGTCTACTCACCGTAGGTGAAAGAAAAGCTAAGATGGAGAGACTTCGCCGTATGTTTCCCTCGTCTCGCCTTAGCACCGCAAAAATTTCGGTAGTTTTGGCGGACAGCGTTTAGTTTACTTCCACGAAAGTTCGATTGTTTGCCGAACGGCCGTAACTTCAGACTGGGGTTCGTTAAAAGCGGCCCCGACCCTGCGTGCCAGCCCCATATATCCCTGCGGTGTGCTTTGGCACAAATGTGGCCCCTGATCGCGAGAAGGGACGACGCGATGGTGCGGTCCACGAGTGCGGAGTGTGTGGACCGAAGATAGCGAACGAAGCGAAAAATATGGCCGAATTGATCATAAATTCGGACGAATTTCGTCCGGCGATATGCGTGTAACTGAATATTTAGGATCGTCGTTCTTCACGATATAGTGGAGCCTATTTAGTTGCCAAAAAATAGGTACCTGAAAATTACGTCTGCAATAGACATATTACTGCTGCGTTAAAAAATAAAAATAGATATTCTAAAAATAAAACTATGTTTTTATGAAATATCCTACGTATTAAAAATAAATTAGTAAAGTAACAAACGACGCGTGTACAATCGAAATCTTTTATGATTTTTTTCGCTTTCAAGAGAAAATCCTTTAACAAACTTTGATAAATCCATCAGCATATAAAATCGTCAAAAATATTCAGGATGTTTAGATGGACAGTTGAAAATTTGATAACAATTCTGAACAGTGATACAAAAGAAAAGGTTTCAAAAGATAGACAGAATAAAATACAAACATGCTACGTCAATCATTTTTTTTACGACCAATTTTGTTTGAACTAAAATATTGACCTTTGAGGCGTGATCATCACGTAAAAGCTTATAAAAATATATATATATGTAATTTTATATAAATTATTAATTAATTAATTACTTAGTATTATATTTTAAGCAATAAAAGATCAAAAAATGCATCCTGAGAGAACTCAGATATTATGTATTTCTCATAAAGCTTTTCGCGTGTTTTGATTTACCTAAAACGTCAACTGAGAAGTCAATGTATACTGTAATAGATTAATCCAAATATCATCGTCGTGATAGCGAAATAATCGTTTAAATTGTCTCGACCACCGAGCATTGATCCGACCGCACATCTCTTTGTCAATGGCGGAGGGTACACAGGAGAAACCAGCGACGCGGTTTGCAAGTTAATGGAAGCGAGTGACAGCCGATCAACTTATCGGCTCCGAAAATTGATATCCGGCGCGCCGTGTATTCAGTCACGCGGCGATTCCATCGGAAAAATATAAGTAAAGATTCGGGCTCTGGCGTGCTGGCACGTCGACGAGGGACGTCCGGGGAAACACGGCACGCTGGCTGTCGGCCAACCCAGTCCGCATTTAGGTCAAACTGACCTGCGCCGCCACCCTCCGCTGGGATCCTCTCTCTCTCTCTCTCTCTCCCCTCCTCCCCTCTCTCCCTC